AACTCTAAAATTGGGGTAAATATGGTTATTGCACAGTTCAATATGAGTCATATAGTAAAATTAATGATCTTAAAACATAGTGATATTGAACCAAGTTATATATAATTGTGTGTCTCATGCTTCAAAAAATTAGATGCACGTAGGCTTCCTGTAGCCCTATGAAAGCATCTCGAGATCCCCTTGAAAAAAGGATAAATTGTCAAAAATAGTGGAAAAAAACGAAACTTAGAAGAGTTTTTTGTAGGAGCAGAAGGTAAAGAAAATGTTTCATGTGCTTCTGGAAAGTGCTAAAAAAAGTAAATGCTAAAAAAATTGCGAATTTTTACTTTAACCCTTTATCTCTACCGACGGTAATTATAAGTACCACTCACTATAGAAGCACATATAATAAACATTTTTTACGAATACTGTCACAATACTTAGCAGGTATATTCTTTGAGATCCACTCCCAAGATATATAGCAGCACGAGTTCTATGATGAGTATTTTAGCAGGTAAGGCGAATAGTTTTATAGCAGAAGTTGCGTTTTCAGCTGACATTTTGATCGGATTGCGATGATTCTAATTTTTGTTCCGGAAAAGTAGTTAATGTCAAAAGGCGTGTCTTATTTTTTTACATCTCAAGGAAGACCTTAGAAAGCGATTTGACTACTTTTTTTAAGTGAACAGTGTATAGAATTATTTTTACAGTTGAATAACTTTGTTGCCCTTATGAATACCGACAGCACACTGAGTGTTGGAGCAAGAACTTAATTTTTTTCCCGTCCGTGTAGCTTATTGTTGCTTTTTGTTTTGTTGAAGCTTCATCACTCTAGTGTTATAGAGTCATGCCTTTTTTTTTTAGCATTTTTCTTTGCTTAATTTATTTATTTTGCTATTTTTATTTCTTTATTTTAACGTTTTCAAAAAATTTGATCTTTTAATCTGAGTTTTTTTTGCCACGTAATTAGATGAAACATGCATACTTATTTCAAAAATTAACATTTTAATTTTCTTATGTGTAACTGAGATTTAATAATAACAAGAGATTTTCAAAGTGCTATTATTATTATTATTTTCCTTTTCTTAGAATGTATGGAAAAAATCTCAGTCTTCAGGAGGTTTCGGATTTTTTACAGAATCTACCATCTGAAATCAGTGATGTATTAGCAGACGATTTTTCAGAGGAAGAAGTCCCAGCAAATAATCAGTCAAAATTTTTGTTAGATTCTTAAAATGAGGATCAAGAGAGACTGAACAAGAATCAAGGTGCAATAGTTCATGTTAAAAAAATACAGCATTTGCTAACCCAGGATACAGTACTTTTAAAAACATTGAATCGAAACCTCACTCAAAATGCACAACAAGTAATGAAATTTTTGTGTATTAATAAAAAGAAAAACTGTCTCTTTGAATATCATCAGATTAAATGTATGTGTAAAAGCCATTTTTATGTGTAAAAGGTTAATAAATTTTAAAAATTTAATAGCCTTTAAAAAGAAGTATTTCGTGCAGTAAAATATTAAAGTTCTCTGGTTATTCAGCATTTTTAAGAGTTAAAACTACGTTAAAAAAGTCCTTCGGTCTTTTCGTACTATGGAGAATATTTTAGACCTTTGTGAACTGAAGGTACTTTAATGTACCAATTAAATTAATTAGCTCTAACGAATTAAATTTCTCAAAGTTGAGTATTTTATTTATGTATATCTCTCAATTTTCAATGTAGTGGTTTAAAAAAAATATTGCTGGAAAGAATTTCTCGTAAATCATAATGAGGTAGATAAAGGGTTAAAGCCTGTTTTCTCAAAATGTAATATTTTTCATTTTATGTTCCTTTTTCTTAAAAACTACTTATTATATAATTATCAAATTTTCAGTGAGTATACTTTTACCATGTTTACACATTTTAATGGAGGGCATAAGATATATCTAGCAAACCTTTTTTAAATAAGGCTTTTTTGAACTAAATTTTAAGGGGAAAAATGGACATTTTGTAAAAAATTCATTAATTACTTTAATTTTTTATTAAAAAGACAAAACCCTTCGTTAAAGTTTTATTGATAGTACATATAATCTGTTGTAAAAGTTTCATTCATTAGAAGTAAGCAGTTTCTGCGAAAAGGTACATAAACTTAAGCAATTTAACATGATCTCCTATCGACGTACCGGACACTTTAACTATAAAAGTGTGGTTTTTAATTTTTTAAAATTATACTTCATTTAATCTCTTCTTTTAATTGTTTATAAGCGAAATCTTATTTATGACATCTAAAAGGTGCTTCCCTTCATTTTTTAATCCACTAGATCCTGTAAACTTTTGGAAATAAATATGGGTTCATTGAAAATTACAGAATAGATAATAGAAAAGTACAAAATTATATAAGGATTTAAAAACAATTAAACAAGAGAGAATTTTCCTGACATCATAAACTTTTAATGCATTAAGTGCTGGCGCGAGAACAGAGGAGTCACTTTGATATCTTCTATGTTTCTCCCGTTTTCACAAGCAAGCTAATATTTCGCGAAAGCTTTACTAATTAATATCAAAATGGCTTTGGGGATTATTTCAATATTATTTTGTATGCTTGTCATTTATTTAAATATTGTTACGTAGATTGGGATTGGTGAAAAATGCAATCCACCTTGTGCATGGAATAGAAATACGGAAAACTTCAGTCTGCAGTAAATATCACGACAAATTCTGCTACAGAAAATTATAAAGCCTGTCGCAACTTTCGATTATTTTTCAAAGATCTAATGACAAATTTGCACTTCCTGATAGATAGTGGAGCTGATTGTTCACTACACATCTAAAAATAAACACCCATCTGATTATAATTATTTGCAGCAAATAGAACAGAAATTCCAACCTACGGATTTGATGTGATAATGATTAATGTGGGATTGCGCAGAGAATTTTTATTTCCATTTATGATCGCCAAAGTTAGTAAAAGTATATTGGAAGCTGATTTTCTAAATAAGTTTAACTTGTTAATTGACATCCGAAATAAACAGTTAATAGATGGAATAACTAACCTTCCTGTTAAAGGTGAAATTTTTTCTATTTTGCAAAAATAAATAAATAAAACAAAATAAAATAAAATAATAATAAAAAGTGTGTGTGTGTACTTATGTACGCACGTAAGAAGTTATATTTCTTTGACGTAACAAGATTAAAATCTTTCTAAAAATCTTTAGCGGGCAAACCGGGCCAAGGACGAAAGACCGTCACGAGCAGAGTTGAACGATACTAACCTTCAGTCAATCGGATCAGCCAAACTTGAGATCATCACGATTTAAATAAATTTAAACACCCCCGCACAGGGACAATATGACCAATAACATGTGGGGTATCAGACTGTATCTAGAGATGAAGTGAACCTAATGTGACACCTGAGACCTCATATTGATTGCCTCGGCGGGAAGAATCGTTTCTGAGAAAATTAAGACATCCGCCTGAAGAGCCTCCGAGTTATGGTCATTTTAAAATAATTAAAACATTTAAAACAATTAAACAAAATAGAAGCAGGGCACTCAGCAACTCGAAACTGAACCTGGATTTGAGCAAACGCAAGAGGAATCCATTAGAACCGGTCCGGAGTCTGTAGTTGCAAATAGGGTGGCGCTAGCTCGGGAAAGGAAAACGAAACTAACTCACCCCGGGGGGGACAACTGTGACGTAAATGGTCACGTACATCCCAACGATACACAAGGTAGTAGGTGATCCCAAAGTTTCATCCTTATATCTCTGTAATATCGTTACGTCATCAAAAGATCGAACCCCATAGGAATAAAATGGGGATTCTAATTTTAGTGATAACACTCTCCCTAAGCCCACTATCTACACATGAATTATAACAACAGATGAAACAGCTCAACGAGGAGAACCTATGGTTCGAGTTTCATTAACAAATCTCAAACCTCCTCGGAGCTATGCGGGATTTAAAAAAAATTATAACTTTAAAATAATTTTAAAATGTTAAATATAGGTAAAGAAATGGGGCTATGGTGCTGAAAAAATATATCTAGGATGCTCATAGGAAGAAAAATCGAATACAGCCGGTGAGGTCGACCAAGGTGGCATAGGATTCGAGTTATTTCTGGGGAAACCCGGTAGGGGCGAGGGGGCCAATTCTACGTAAAGCTCGCGAAAATACGAAAATATGGCAGACCTCCAAAAATCAAGTCCAAAGCTCAATTCCTTAAGGAGGGGGTAAATTTTCTCAGTCCCCAAAGGATTAACATGGGAGCAGGATATTTTAGTGCTTAAGCCCTCCCCATGTCTACACAATGGAAATGAAGTATGTGACTGGATGGGTCTGGACGAGTGGAATAGTTGGTTCAAATCTCCAGTCCGAGACTCGAACAGGAGCCAAGATATTGTGGATTTAAACAAATTTAAAAAGTTTAAGATAATTAAAAACAATAGAAGAAATAACTTGAAGAACGGATAGAGAGATCGAATGAGCCGGGTCTGAATGGACTGTCAAGCTCGGGTGCCGAGACGTTGGCCAAAAAGCTGTAGAGGGGGGGAATGCAAAGGGGGGTATGCAAATCAAATATCAGTCCCATAGCACCCAAAAAGTGGCTTGCTAACATATTAGACAACGGTGTGCGCGCGCGCATCGTAAAAATTAGTCCTCATCCTTTTTCCCTAACGCCCAAAAAGAAGGATAACTTCAAAAATAAATATACGAATGCAAAAGGCTTTTATAATTTGTTGCAATGTAATAAATGTGTTTAGATTCATCGCAATGCATTCGTAGTAAGAACATCCATAATCATATACTTGCAATTGTTATTTAAATAGGTAAACTGATATTTACTCTTATGTTTTATGTACATGCAACACACTTTAAAGATTAATTTACTAATGTTTTTTTAAATTTCCTGTAAGTATGTTTAGTGTAATAACAAAAAGTGTCCAAACAAATGCATCAGAGAAGCTCCGTAGGCGAAGGACGATCTCCCCTTACTACTAGTGATGTCACAAATCAGCGCAAAGCAAAGGTTCGCTGACACGGGGGTATAGCTCAGTGGTCAGTGGTTGAGCATTCGACTGCTAATCGAGAGGTCCCCGATTCAAACCAGACCAGGATGCCCCCTTCCTCAGGGAAGTGAAGAGGAATATTTTTTTGAGGATTTGAAGGTGGAAATAATCTGTCCTGTTCTGTATCCGTTCTTACGGAACGCAAAGCAAAGGTTTGCTGACGTGGGGGTATAGCTCAGTGGTAGAGCATTCGACTGCAGATTGAGGATCTCCGGTTCAAATCCGGTTGTCCCCTTCTTCAGGGAAGTGAAGAGAAATATTTTCCTGAGAATTTCGATGGCGACAATGATCTGTCCCGTTCTGTATATTTCTAGACAAAGCATTTTCGCGTCCGTGATGGTGTGCGCACGCATCGTAAAAATTTACCCTCATCCTATTTCTCTAACACCCCAAAAGAAGTATAACTTCAAAAATAAAATAAAATAATTTAATTCAAAAAATCGTTCGCCTCTCTGACTCACTGGTGGGGGGAGAGTAGCGTAGTGGTATTTAAATTAGCCAGTAACAGCCTCTGGACAGATGTGATCACTTTTGTCTAGTGGATATGTTCCTAGGCTACAAACACCCACAGGTTCAAAGATTTTATGTTATGAGTCTCAAATGCAAGGCAGTTCTTCAGGTGTGAGGAAAAATTATCGTAGAAAAACAATCCTTTAAATGCAGGACATAGCATTAAAATTCGCTAAATAAATCCCAGAAGGTTTTCACATGTCCTACAGCGCTCAGACGTAACTATTGGTTTCTAACAATGCAAATACGTAATCTTTAAGATTATTCTCAGGCACTCACTCGATCGTAGCAACTAATCGCTAGTCGACTCTCCAACGGTTAAAACAAATACAGACTCATCTTAAGCGAGTGGCTCCTATTTATTGTGCTAACGGATTTTTCTCGAAAAATCCACTTACGTTATAAATCGTGAAATTAATAGATTTCTCCAGCATTTTCCAGAAGCATGCATAGGAACACCAACTTGCCAAAAATGTTGCGAACTGTTTGCTTTATCGCCAACATTTCGCCAAGTTTCCATTGAATCACCATTATAAAATAAGGAAAGGTGTTGCTTGAGGATATTAAACATAAAATAAATAGCATAATTAATTTAATTAGCATAAAATAAATCCAACAGAAAGTAATATTAACGTATTAAATATCCAGATATAAATTATTTGCACTATTTTAAGCGTTCATTACCTAAAATTCAAAATAATATTTTTGCGTCAATATCATTAACAGGAAGTTTTACCTACATGTTTCCAAATCTGTAAAAACCAAGACATATTAAAGGTAAAGAAATAGTTTCTTGAAACTGGAAATGATTTTAAAGTATCAACGCGTACTTTTAAAAATTGTAAACGAAAAATTATCTAACAGGAAAGCAGATATTTTATTTGGGATTTCTTTAAAAAGGGGAGAATCAAAAAACTGTTCATTAAAATTTCACCCTAAAACAATTTATTTTTCATTGCGGTCTTGTCTTCAAAAAGAAATGCACACCCAAAAAATCTCAATTTCATACTCTGGTTGTATTCATTATACCATAAAACAAGAACGTGTCCGTCGCGAAACGCCAGAGCGATATTTATCGACTCTTTCAAGCACCCAGCGAATATGAATCCCAGTGTCGAAGCACGAGCAATAAATCGAAAAGGAGAACAACTTTTGAATTAAATTTTCGTCGTCTTGCATATCGTAAAGAGCGGCAATAAAAATGGGACAAGAAATTTAAAACGGTCGTTTGAAAGAGCGCATAGTATGTAATGGGAGATCAAGTTTAAAATCTGAATCTCCGTTGTTGGAAACATATGTTGAATCTGTCGCTTTTATAGATAGGTTTCCTCTTTCTTTTGTTTTTGTGAGTTGTTTGATTCTAATAGGGTTACTGTGCATCTCTTTTTGTAGCGTGGCGACATTTTTATGTCTCTTTCAGTTCTTAAGAATTTGGATGTAAAAATTGCAAACAATGTTTTTTTCATGAGCCACAGAAGGAAAGATTGTTTTAAGTAACAAAAGAGCGTCTCAGCGTTTTTCCAAGTTTTACATATTAATATTAAGTAAATATTCGAAAAGGAATGACTTATACAAAAGTTTGATACTTTTCAAATCTTCCCTTAAATTTTTATTCATTCATTTTCAATTATTTTTTGTTGTCCTTTGTGTTTGTAGGATATTTTAATATTAACGTGATTGGTTACGATTGAGAAAGGTTAATACAGAGGAAATTGTTTAAGCCGGAAAATTTGGTCCTCAGTCTAAAATTGAATTTCGACATACTAGGTTCCATTCAGTAAAATTATATTGTTACGAATTTTATGTAATGGACGCTTAATTTTATCTTAAACTAGTGTAAATAGTTTATATTTGGATGTTTAATAAGTTAATATTACTTTCTGTTGCCAAACTGTAATATAATATAAGGAACAGCGTTGCTGGCTAATAACGCCGTTCCAATGGAAACTTGGCGAGAAATTGACAATACAGCTAAGGTATCTTTTTAGGTGACTTTTTCACCCTGTTGGTGATCCTATGTGACCTTCTCGAAATAACAGGGTAAAGAGTCTATAACCTCATGATCTGTGATGATCTATCGAGGATTTTTTCGAGAAAATACTGGAAGGTTTCCACAGAGACTAAAAAAATAGTGGTCACTCGTTGAAACCAAAGTCAGTATTACTTCAGCTGCTGAAGCCTTCACTTGCTACGATCGAACGTTGCTTGCGGATAATCTTTGTCATTACGCACTTGTACTTTCAGACACTGAGAGTTGTGTCTTAGCACTGCAGAAGACGTGAAAACCTTCTGAAATTTAGGATGCAAATTTTGCTGCTGTAATCCGCATTTTAAGGATTTTTCTACCATAAATTTCATGGCTTTTTGGGATTGTATCATAAAATTCAGGAGCCACAATATCTATTTAATTATATATGAACTGAATATGGTAATAACTTATATATTGCTCATTGATTTGAGCAGTGATTTAGGTATTCTCGAATGTCTTTTATTGATATGTACCTTAATTCATATTTAATAATCGATTCAGAAGATGTATCCATTATAAGATTTTCCTTTATATTGTACACGGAAAAGTGAAGAGTTTCTATCCCCCCAAAAAAGCTGGTTATAACTCTGGGAAATAGCCCACAGCCTTCTTTTTATAGACTCTGTAGCAATTATGTGTAATGTGAAAATTTATATACATATATACATTCATGGACAAAAAATTAGCGCACCAAGAAGGATTCATCGAAATGAAACGAAATTTTACATACGTAATGACTACTTTGATATAAGTAAATAAATAGAAAATCAAAGAAAAAAAGAATCATTTATTACAGAGGAAAAGGCAAAAGAAAGGAGGATTTCTTACCTTGTTGAACCCCCTCTAGCGCGAATGCACGATGCGATACGATCGAGCATTGAGGCATACAAGTTCTATATGATGCCTTGAGACATTTCATGCCATATTTGCTGTAACCTTGCCTCTAGTTCGTTCAAACTCGCAGGTTGCCCAACTCATCGTCCCAAATGATCCCAGATATGCTCGATTGGAGAAAAATCTGGAGATCGGGCAAGCCAAGGAAGGGTAGTAACAGTATGGAGACAGTCTTGGACACCCTCGCCGTGTGAGACCGAGCATTGTCTTGTTGAAAAATGGCTCATGGGAGCCGTTGCATGAGTGGCAATACATGTGGCTGCATGATGTTATGGACATACTGATGGGCTGTTATGGTTCCACGGATCAATACTAGGGATGACGTTTATTGTAGGCAATGGCACCCCATACCATCACACCAGCGGTGGGAGCGGTGTGTCACTGAAAATCAAAGGCAGAATTGAGGCGTTCAGAACGGGGTCTCCACACACGAACACGATTGTCATCACTTCTGAGATTGAATCTGGATTCGTCGCTAAAGACGACCTGGTTCCATTCCGCTGCAGTCTAGTTTCCTTGTGCGTGGCACCACTCCAAACGGAGGCGTCGATGGGTGGGTGTCAAGGGCAGTTCATGTAATGGGCGCCGCGATCCCGAATGTTCTTCAGCCAGGAGCCTTCGTGTGGTTCGAGAAGACACAGGGGCCCCTAATGAAAGTGCTACCTGTACCTGGATGGCGGTAGATGAAGCAGTTGGCTGTACGCGTGCATTTTTTACTTTGTGACGGACTTCTCGACGACTGGTTTGTCAAGGGCGTCCTGAGCCTGGTCTTCGTGTAAATGTCATCTCTCGGATCCGCTGGTCCCAACTCCTCCTCACAACACTTTAGAGTGGCCTAATTGACGAGCTACTCGCTTTGCTGACCACCCAGCTTCCATCATGCCGATGATTCATCCCCTCTCAAACTGCGACAGCTGCTCATATTCTCTTCGAAAACGGCGTAATGACATGATTACCTCAGCTCTGACTTTGTAAACGATTCAGCACACCCAAAAGGCTTTGGTTACCTATTTTATTCTCTACGGAGGACGACGTTAAACGCCTACTACCGGCTATATGCAACGTGCAATCACGCTGCATTTCTAATAATTTGCATATCTCCCCGACATGTACCTTCATGCCAAGTTTCGTTACGACCCCGCAATTATTTCTTGGTGCGCTAATTGTTTTTGTCCATGAGTGTATATCCACATAACTCTTTTTTAGCTAAAACTGTTCTTTGCACAAAACTTAACATACTAATTTTTTTAAATTCTTGTTGCGATATTATTTGCATATAAAACAAACTGGAAATAAAATGTATGTTTCCTTACGAATACAATGCTACATCTGAGAATAATATGAGTTGCTTTTCCAAGCACATATGCATACTTATTCACATGGGAGCAAAGATTTATTTTTTTCCTCAGAAATATTTTGTTTGTTCTTTCAGCTTGTGAAAAAAGTGATTTTATATGAGGATTCCGAAAATGCTAACACAAAACTATTTTATTTAGTGTACTCAATATTTCTCTAAGTTATTTTTCTAATTCGAACGAAAATTTGTTTTACATTTTTCATTCACCATTTTTGCTAGAAAACGTGTTTATTTTGGCTAGATAGATGAGATTGTCTGCATGTATA